ATGGAGACCAAACTTTAACTTTCTGCTCTGCCTTCTGGGACTCTGAAAACAACATGATCACAAGTCAGGGCTGGTCAAAGTTTACATTTGAACATGTTTAGGTTTGTTTGTTTTTTTCAAACTTTTCATAAATTTACAGAGTTTTCACTGATTTTGAGCCTGTTAGTATAGAGTTAAAGACCTCTATGTCAGGGGTTAAACATAGAATCTTATAATTAGGCGATTGGATGGATGGATGGATGGATGGATGGATGGATGGATGGATGGATGGATGGTGGATGGATGGATGGATGGATGGATGGTGGATGGATGGATGGATGGATGGATGGATGGAAAATATATTACAAGCAATATCTGGAAATTTTCAGTTTTTATAAATTTTGTACACGAGTCAGAAAACTCACGTGTACATGTCTAAATCTAACCTTTGCTCTTCTCTGTGATGTCCATCGACGGTTCCTGCTCCAGGTTTCTGTTGAGAGGTACTTCCTGTTCGCCATTGCTCCTGATAACCGGACTGGAAACGGCTGGATTGAGTCCACACATCACCAGACCGTGGCCTTCAATAGCTTTATCTAAAAATGGACACAAGACAGCTGACCTCTCTGGAGTCCAATAAATAATCACAGTATGACTGAATCTAAATGTTATTCTATGGCTCAGATTGTTGACATATTATTTACTCTTCCTACATAAATCCAGATCCACTGCATTCTCCTTCCTCTCCTGTTTCTGGTATGTGATATATTACACACACCAGCCTCTGGTTTGTTTTACCACTGGAACCACGAACAGCAAATATTATCGTTTTTCTTGTAGAGTTTAAATATTGCCACATTATATATGATGGGGCAATAGCTAAAGAGTGTTCTTCATATAGATATTAAAATATATATCATCTAACCTGGTGAAAGTCTTCACATCACATTAAGCTGTTATGTCATGTCATGTTTACATAACATGTCATAAATATGCATATGTCAGTCTTATGTATTTGCTGGTCCTATGCACACTCCTTCAAATAAAGCATTACCCAGGCTTTGTTCCAGGACTGTCCAAGATTTCTCTCTACCCAACTTTCCATAATCTACGACCAGCTTCCCTGTTGCCTGTGTTGGCCTTATCGCAGTAAAATATATTGATAAGATCCAAGGGAATGCAAGGGATGGTACAATGTACAAAGATATTCAATAAAATAATAATAACAAAACTACAAAATCACTTATTTTTCAACACAGCTACCTGTTGATGTGTGCACGTAGCATTCCAGTCCAGGGGCACTCAGCACTTTGGCACAGTGGTCCTCTGAGGACTCGGGTAAATCAGGCGAGGGTGGCCTTGTGAATTCGCTTCTACTGATATCAAAGAACAAGTTGAGCTCCTGTAAGACCCTGCCGAACTGTTCCTTCATCTCAACGTCCAAACTAGTGCTTAGATCACAAGAGGGTCCATCAGAGTCAGCAGGAGCAGCAGAAGACGCTGGCTGTGGGTTCAGTTCATCATATGAGCAGTTAGAGGAATCATTGGTTGATTCGCAGTTCAGCTCTTTCTCCATGTATGGGGTGAAGTTTGGGACTTCATTAGAACTGGAATCACTGGAGACCAATTCGTTCTCTGTGTTCTTCTTCTTATCTTCAAGTGTCTTCTCTTTGATTTCACTTCCTGACACTGGTATGAGGTGTTGCTGTTCTTCCTGGGGTGTGTTCAGGAGCTCTGTGGCACCATCATCGTCATCTGGAAAGAGTTTGATCTTTTCAAACGTGTCAAACCCGCCGAGTGCATCCTTGTTGGGAGCGAAGGTCGATGGGAAATATCTGACGCCATGGAGAGCGTTTTGAGATGGGCACGGAACGACTGCGTCAGTCGTAGGAGGAACTGTGCAGAGCGTGGACACATCAGGCATGTGTTGATCGTGAGCGAAGCAACTAAGACTTTGTTCTGGATCTTCTCCGTTATAAAAACTCAACCTGTTCTCTGCCCATTCACTAACATCCTGAATGGAAGACTCTTCCCTAATCTCGTCTTCAAACTCACTTTTCTTCTGCATGTGCTCCCCAGTTTTCTGTTCATCTATGTTTATTTCCTTCTGGTTTTGTTCTTTGCCTTCAGTCGTCACATAGTTTAAGCAAATATTGGCCGCAAAAGCTTCACCGAGCTCATTTTCTTGTTCGTCGTCAATACTATTGAGATTGCTGCCGTGTTTTTGTGTTTCTTCTTTTTTCTGGTAACTGTTGCTGTCTCGTTGTTCATTTTGCCGCTTCGATTCTAAATTCCTAAATTCATTGGTTTCTGTTGGAGAATGACTTTGTCTGATCCCAGCAACCTCTTCCACTTCATCAGTTTTGCCATGTGAGTATTCCAGCTCAGGCATCTCCATGTGGTTAGGACTGAAAGCAACTTTCAGCTGACTTCCCGTCGTATCGCAGTTCTCTCCAGTTCCATCATCTTCAGCAAATGCATGACTGGACTTGCCCTCATTGTCGGTCTGGTCTTGCATCAAGTTGCTTGTGCCAATCATATTTTCATCTCTCTGAAGCTGCTCTGTCTGGTCTGGAATTGAATCCAGTGACGGTCTGACTTCAGAACAAAATGGAGAAGTTGCTTCAGTGTTGCAGACTTCAACTAACGGAGATAATTCTCCACCTGCAGCGCCGTCTGAGTTGCAGAGCAGTTTTTCAACCTCGTCAATTTCACTCCAGATTACAGGGTCAATTACACAGAATGCGTCGGCCTCATTATCTTCTTTGGCATCCTCCTGACTGATTCTAACAGCTGCTGGAATCTCTGCCTCTACCACATAGTTGTGCTCCTTGAAACTCACATTTTCAGCTGATATTGTTGTGCCTGACACAAACTCACAGCGAGAAATCAATCCCTCACAAGATTTGACAAAGGTTTTGCTCCCTTGACCTTTTGATCCTACGTCTGAGACATTTTCAGGAATCCAATGGTCAGATTTCTGACAATGATCCACTTCAACATTTGAGCAGAGTGGGAGAGCATCTTGGGAGGAGGATGTGGGACTCCTCAGAGGTGCCTCCTCTCTCTTCAAATCACCCTCTACAGCATCCGCCAGTTGGCTGAAAGCATGACAGAAATCTGTGTCAGCCGCCTGATGTGAACAGAAGGTGACTGCCTGGATGAGACTGGGCTGAGTTTGAGCCCAAGTCCCAAGATTCCCATCATTCCCGTCATTCTGTAGACAGACGCCTGGATTTTCACCCTCGAGCGACTTCTCTAGCTGTTTACAGTCGGGAAGACTGGGTGTGCTGTTGCTGGCGGGACTTAGGTCGTCTGTTTCGGTAACAAAAGACTTCTCCTCTCTCTCGACACTTACACACACCTCATTTGACTCTGAAGTCACATGAGTAGCAGGAGTAAGGTCTGATGGAAGGCCTGTGGGGTTTTCATCATGATGCTGCCCACTCTCTGCTGTTATCAGGCTGCCGGTCTCCTGGAGGTTATTCGTCGATAGGCTGCTAATCGCGTCCCGAGACGTCCGAAGCTGTGAAGAGTCGAACCCGCTGTTCCGGTGGAGGTCTTCTGTCGCAGCGCAGTCTGTTCTTGCTCGTTTTGGAGAGGGCGGGGAAGTGGGCTCTTTTTGCAGACTGATTTCTAGGGGGACTGTTTCCATTTTCTTCCAGTAAGAATACCTAAAAAAATCCAAACAGATAAGCAACATTAACATGGACCTCAAGTTAGTCTACAGTCAGCATCATTTAAATACATAAATGATATAACCTTCCGTCTCCTTTTTCCTCCCTCCCAGTTTTTTGGTAGTTTTCCTTCAACAGAGTCCTTACAGTGACACAAATCAGTCGTATTAATATGTTTTTTATTTTTAACTTTTCCTTACACAAGGCAAAAAAGAAAAAAACCTGTTACTGAAAAGAATACTATTTTCTTCCAATGAAAATGTACATCATGATATGTATCAGACCAAAATAATAAAATGCTGTTAAACAACTGAGGTGAACTGTTTACTTCAACCTTAATGTTATATGATAAATGTATTGACCAAAGGTGGTTGTAGAAAGCGTTGACAGCAACAATTGCACCACCTGTGATTTTTAATAGAATTATAGTATCTTGACTTCAAAGGTTATTTCTGATTTTAAAATAATTTCACTCATCTTTGCTCACATAGTCATGGTAAAAAAAAAAAGAAAAGTAAATAGAGAGAGTAAGAGAGGCAACATCCTGGTCAGATTTTTGGGGTATCAGGAAGATTTGGGCTGAACTTTATTGTCATACAGTTTTCAATTAGACATTTCTTTCAATATAGACACATTAATATACCTTTGTTTAAATCCTAGAATAGACAGAATACTGTTTTTCACACTACGATACCTTTTTGTTTTGATTTAGTTTTCCCCTTTGGATCAATAAAGTATATAAAAAAGCACTGCATAAGTCTAATCTATTCATAATACTTCAGAGCAAAAGAGCTTTTAAAAAAAATTAGCTATCAATTTTAGCAAACGTCACAAGGAAACTCTGGCTTCGTGCTAAACTAAATTATATTTTTAATAAATGGCTAGTTTACATTTGAAGTAGTGCTAATTTTGTGCCCTTTATTGGGCAGTGAGACAGTTCAAATTACTCACCCACTAAATGAGCAGTTTAATCTTGTCGCTAACCCCCAGTTAGCATCATGGCTAACGCGCTTTGCTGTCAGTGGCGGGAAAGTGTTGCGGCTGCTAAAGAAACAACCGCTGCATAATAAGTAGGCGCTGCTCGTCCGCCATTACTTTGACCCCGTTTCTAGCACAAGCGGCGCGTGACGGCTAAGAAAATATGCTTATGTGGGGTAGAGAAAGGGCGAGTTCACAGTTAGTTCTTGTTCGGTGCTGTTGACAGCCTGTTTCCCGCTGTGTGCGGAGCCCATCAGGCTGATAACAAACACACACACACACACGTACGCACACACACGTACACTAATACACGCGCGCGCGCTCTGAGCGTCTGTCTCCTCCTCTCTGTGCATCAGAAGCACTTCGTGTTCAGCAGCATCTTTCTGCGGATCTGCGCCCCGTACTTTCTGACTCTCCTCCTCCAAACAGTGGGACGAATAGCAAAATTGGGGGGAAAAGAAGAAGAAGAAACAGACATTAAAGCCGTGAGCTTCTTGTTTCGCGGTAGGAGCATTTCATACGTCTGAGGCGCTTGTTTTGTTCCCCCCCCCCCTCCCCTCAACCCCCTCGTCCTCGGAGGGATTTTTGAGACCGCCGGACTTCTCATCGTTGACTTCACGCTCTCATAAGGTAAGAAATCGAGCGCTTTGCGTTTCTCGCATTTTCCTCCTCAAATTATTCCGAGTGCTTCAAGTATGACACGATGCAACGCGGTGCGTCATCCTTTCTAAATTTCCTGAGTGATTGATTTATGGAGCACATAATTGGCAAATAAGCACGCATCCACGTTTTATCAGTAAAAACCGCCATATTATACTTATTATACTTAAATCTGGAGGACACTTTTCGTGCAGACGTCAAAATAAGCATGACATGTCTTGTTTGCGTTACTCTTGCAGCCCAAGCGCGCGCACAAACACACGCGCACGGGAGTATTTTTGAATCAGCATCCAAAGTGAACAGGAACAGGTAATAAGCACAGAGGTGCTTAAAAATGTGTGGATTCTCTTGGTTTATAATTGGCACTTGCGTGGGGTGGCTTGGCGTCACATGGCACTGGATGGGGTGTGATGTGTGCTTGTGGAGCTGGTTTGTCACTGATGTTGCAATTGTGTGTGTGTGTGTGTATGTGTGTGTGTGAAAGAGAAACACAGAGAGATAGAGAGGCATGGGTGGAGGGAAGGGGGTGTCTCCTCAACCCACCCTCAGTAGGAAGCTACACCAAGACAAAAAGGCCTTCAGAATATTACAGACTATCAAATTTGCTTGGAGTAAAACCTCAGACTGGTTCGTTGACATCTGATGTCGGCTCTCTCTCTGTCTCTCTCTCTCTCTATACCAGCACTCTGCCCTCCTCTCAAGGTCAGCCCCTGTTGGCAAATGATGGGAAATGGGGTGGTGTTATGTAATGGCCCACTGCCCCAGCTCTGGGGCCACTCTGCTGGCTGTAAAGCCTCTCCTCTTTTACGCTGCAGATATGTCGTCGTCAGTCTTGCACCTGTCGCCTTATTCGTCCCATCTGCTTTCCCTCCAGAAAGGGTTCAAAAGGACCTGAACCCTCCAGTGACTCAGGTTTAGAGTCAGTTAGGGGTGTGAACGGTAACCGCAAGGTGCTGAAAAGTGAACCAGTGCGCCTCGTCACCCCAGCTTTCCCCCCCTCCCCTCGGCATCCCTGTCCCTCCCGGGCCTGGCCTCATACTCAGGTCTCGTCCTGAAGCGGGCTCACTGGCATTTGCTGATGATGCACCAGGTAGTTCTGTTTGTTTCCTTCGTCTCTTTCCTGTGGCACTTGTGAGTAAGTGGCGCAGAACATCACAAACGCATAGATCGAGACAACAGACACTCTGGCCGGGGTGTGTTCTCTGTTATTCAACAGGAGCGTCATGCCTCTGCATTTCTCTCGGAACACACCCATCCCCACCTTCACTGCCTCCCGCCTCTACCTCCCAGTTACTTTTGCATCACTTTTTCTTCCACCGCACGTACCCAGTAGTGAGAGTGCATCAGAAAATGCTTGGCGGAATGTGAAGAGGGAGTTTAGTCATCGTCGCATTTGCATGCAGCGCGTAGGGAGTTCAGTCATATAACATTTACAGGCTGTTTTCATCCCAGTGCTGGTTGATTGCATCACAAGGGTGGCGGTGAACAGTAACAAGCCAGATGGGTGACTGACAGGGGTCGTAGGAAGCTTGGAAGAATAGCAATCAGCCGAGGTGCCAAATGGGAATGACAAGCAGCCCTATATGAAAGATAAACGTCATCCATTTGATGGATGTGGACGAAGATGAGGTTTTAAAGATCCCGTGAACCTTTTTCACATTTTGTCACATTATAGCCACTAAGCTCAATGAAGACAAAATAACACATCATGATCATCACTGGTTCTCAATTGGATTTAGATCTGGACTTGGACTGGGCCGTTCTAACACATGAATATACTTTAATCTAAATCATTGCATTCTTGCTCTTGCTTTACGTCATGCTTTGTGGTATTTTCCTCGCATGTCTTTTGCAACCTCTATCAAGTCTTCTTTCAGGATTGTTCTAAATTTGGCTCCATCCAGCTTCCCTTTAACTCTGCGTTAAAGGGAAGCTTTAACGCAGAGTTAAAAAAGGTGAAACACTTGGTTTGAATCCCCTTGCAAAGAAGTGAAAAAATACATACATAAGACTAATTCAAATCAAACTTCCTGAGACAAATCCCTGTCTAAAGAGTGAAAAATAAGTACTTCAGCAGCACGGAAAATCTGATGCCGGGTCTATCGGCTGCACACTGATGCAGCACAGATGCGAAACCGTCTCTGATGCTTGTTTGTTGAGCGAGTGACAAGAGTATTGCTCACATTACGATGCAGCGTGAGCGCTTTGTGAGGACATTGCGAACGTGATGCCACATGGCACCACACCAGAAATCACAAGTCTGAATATCCGACTAAAAACGCAAGAGTTCTGCAAGAGGTCCACCTTATCTCATGGCCGTTCTTGTGATCCCTTAAAAGTAGATGTAAATTTTCCTACTGACGGGTGATTTGGGGACAGGCCTCCATGTACAAGTACAAAGAGAGACACACACAGTGTCATGATGGCAATGAACTATGTCATTTGTTCACATCTCTCTTCGGACGTGTGCACACATCCCGCTGCTGCTGCTTTCTTCATCCTGGACCTATTTTGAAACAAAGTGGTGTCTTGCACCTTCCTGTCAGAGGGCATTGCATTTGCACATTCCCTGAAGCACTGACATTTGCTTCCGAGATCACAGACTGACTAAACAAAGGCAAAGAGTAGAGTTCAATCCACACTCGTATTTGTGCAGTTCCAATGGTCTGGAGATATGGATGTAGACAAATATATTGTCACCAAATCTAAATGTGAGTTCATCCATTGTATTCTGATTACTTTCAAAGATGAGGTCTAGGAGGAAAACCCGCATTTCCCTCCGTCTAGTGACATCCACCAACTCAATAAGACATCCCAACGCGTTCTCAAATCAAATACATAGAAACCCTGTTTCTGGGTTTCCATCGGGGTCTCTTCTTAGCGGGACATACCCTTAATCTCCAAAGGTAGATTCCCAGAAGGCGTCCTTGTTGAATGCCTGAACTACCTTAACGGATTTCTCTCAACAGCCTTCATTGTTTTTGGGAAATGACAAACTTCGACATAACTTTCTCAATATTGCAAAAATGTTTTTTTGCTTGTTTGAGGTGGTTTTTGGCTTTTCTTAATGTGCTTCAGGGACATGGAATCACAGTTGCCATTTACGTTCTGTTGTAGTGAGCATTTAAATCATGTGACTCACCAGCTATTTCCATTGTTGGTGTGCATTAGATTTGCATTTCTTTCCATACATCTTCTACAGCATGTAACATCGTCAGTACTGGTTGGCATGACAACAGTTACAATTGATAGCAGCACATTCTTGAAAACTTCTCTCTATTTTTCTGAGACGTGTGCTCCATAGTAGGCTACAACTTCTATTTCCTGTAATTACAGCCATGTGTAGCTTCAACAGTTGATGAAAGTACGCTTTGCATAGCCTGCTTGATTCGCTTCAAACCAGTAAATGAAAACATGGCTAATTTGCAATATTTTAAAAGTTCACTCAAAACATCCATGGCAATTGGACGGTAACAGCTAATACAGAGACTCCACCCTATCTGTAAGGTGGAGAGATAGCCAACTTACAATGGAAGCTCATTTGTTGTACCAGGATGTCATTCTTTATGCCATGATCCTTATCTTGTGACCACAGATGAGGGTCAGAAAGTAGACGGACCGGTAAATTCCAAGTTAACAGACAAAACACTTTGTGCAATCCCCTTTTGCGAATATCATAGCATCCTCTAGGAAGAGTCTCAATAGATTAGTGGTCACCAATGTTGTGGTTGGACTCGCACTGGGGTAGTTGTGATGTCTTAAGAACCTGTTTGCTATTTGAAGAATCATGTTGTGCCATGCTTTCTTCACAAGAACCTTCAGAAGAGAATCGGGGACACATCATGACAGGTCCTCCACCATATTTAACAATGGGCATGAATAACTTTTCCACATATTCTACATGAAATTCACATTAAACCTGGCTGTAGTGTTGTTGCAGAATAAAACACTTGCTAGTGTCATCTCATGGTTCCCATTAAAACCCCAATAGAGTTTGAGAAATGTTTACGTTTGTGAAGGTAGAATAGATAGAGGTTATTCCGGCCTGTGGATGGCATGTTATTGGTATTATAGAGACTTGGATACACTCTTTTCCTCCTTCAATAGAGGCCAGTGGCAAAAGGAAATGGGTTGCTGTGGGTGGGAGGTAAAACATTATGGATTTCTAGATGAATATTCCAAGACATGGGGCAGTGTGTGGAGTAGCAGTAGAGGTTATTGTTCTCCTTGGTTCCATTAAAACCCAAGTATTTTCTCATCCCATGAGGTTTCCATACCTTTTGTTTTAACCTGGTAAACCTTGGTAGAAAGGTGTGCCTTTTATGCCATCATGCAGACATTTGAGATACTATTAAAAATCTGTAAAAGTGGTCACTGAAAGAATGAATTTGCCTCTTCAACAATCCCAGAGCTCCAATTCAGGTGATTTTCACAGAGAAACCGCAGCTAATGGATCGCAGGGTCAGTTATGAATGAGAAAATTGTACAACTTCCTCTGCTTTTTGATTAGCAACTGAATGCACTTAGGATGCTCAGGGGGATTGCATTAACACAAAGTTTCTTTGGCGGCACTAAAAAGCTGCACTTTTTAGAGGTGCAGGGTTTTTTATCTGTCTTTGAATCCGGGCACGTTTGTGTGTTTTTCTTGCGTAATCTGTGCTTTAACTGCCAGATGCATTGCATTCCCACGTAAAGGTCTTCTTCAAAAAGGTCACATCTTGCCGAAGGACACAGCAGCATGCAGAGGGGGCTCAGATACCTCCATACGGACCTGGGGCCTCATGCATAAAGCCTGCGTGTGCACAAAAAATATGCAGCTCTGCACATGATATTTTCCATATTTTAAGGCAGCAATGTCTGAAAATGAACTTTGTGTCAAAATTTGCGTAAATCTACGTACACTTTTTTACTGGCATGAAAATGTGCGCCAGCCACGCAAACTTTCTCTGTGAACAATATCAAACTACAAATTCTCCTAAATACGCTGAAATCTGACTACATTCGGTAAGTGTAGCACAGCGCTTCGGCTCTGATATTGCCAGTGGAAGGATTCAAAGGGAGCGGTTGCTCAGAGATCATATTGATCTGCTGGGAAATGTTGATGATGGTTTATTAGTGTTTAGATCGCTCAGACTGATCATCCTGGAGCTCTGAGGGTAACTTAAAGATGGAGTCGTACGGTACCAGCGCCGGTCCAGCTGCAGTTATCCTTCTGCTGAGCCGTCCCCTTTGTGAATGCACCTTATGGGCAGAAACCATTTCTGATCTGTAAATGTACAACTTCTGCACATGATTCTACTATTTGGAATTGGAATAAACGTCCACAGTCCCACTCAAATGACTCTGACACGCTGTCTGTCTTTAAATCCCTGCTGGACGCGCTACTGTTCTAACAGGCATTTGCATGATCTCTTTATTTATTTATTATTTTGATTTTTTTTCTTTAAAATGTATTACTTTTGTTTTTGTGAGGTGACTTTGTGCCCTGAAAATACAGATTTTTTTATTATTATAAATACTTATACTGCTGCAAACAAGGACATTGCTATGGTTACTGCTTCACATGGTGGCAGGCTACCAGCAGCTGAGCTCAAATGTATAACAAAACAACATTTGTTACACCAGTATTATACCATTAGATCAATTACCAAATTGATTTGTCACCAAAATCACTCTGTCCCTCTAAAATTTTTCAGAAAATGTAAAAAATGTATCGAAGCATACCTTTTGCTGAATACCGTGATATATGTTGAGCAGAATATCGGGTATCATATTGTGAGGTTAAAGTGTCACTACGGCCCTAATATACATATAATTTTCAAATCGAAACACAGTACCGAACTGGTACTCTTGTCTATTATGAGCGGATTGTTCTCCCTTTAAACTCCAGATTTATATTAATTTTATGGCGGCACAAAACACAAACTTGTAAAGGCTCTTGAAATAACTTGTCACCAAAAAGCTACTGATTTTATCTCTCCAGCGGAGTTAAATTTCACGCCTCCATTTGCTGTGCTTGTGAAAAGGGAGGCTGTTTGGAATGGTGCCTGGATGACAACATCCAGGCACCAGAAGAAACTAGCAGGCAGGATGTAAAAGTCGGCCGAAGAGCATTTCCAAAGCGATGTCGTAGGAGAAGCGGAGTCAACGCTTGATCAATAAAGGATCCTGGACACCTTGAAAGCGCCTGAGCGAAATGATTAATATCTCTCAGTAACAGGTCTGCTGTTTGGCAGCCAACTTCTGAGTGGGCTGTTGTAGCATCTCTGCAAGGTAGAGTCTTATTTAGGAAAAAAACGAAATTGTCCACAATATATGAAACGACTTGCTATTCTTTACAGCACAATATAATGCCGCTATTGACTTAATCTACTCTTTCTCAGATGTGAAGGTGGTTTGCAACAATAAGTGTTAAAACAAGCCTGATAATTACTTTTCTTTTTTGAAACTGCCCTTCAAAAAATGATTAAAATTTTTTGAAGGGCAGTTTTGTTTACGGACACTTAATAATCTGTTTCATTTATGGTTTTGGTCATTTCCAATTTACGTGTATTTTTTCTGGTTATTTAAAATATCTCCTAGTCTGAAGTATTTTTCTCAAAGTTAAAGTTTGATTTTTGAAAGAGCAAACTTCCATTATTATGACATCATCGTTGTACTACTAGAAAAAGAAGGTCTCAAAATAACAATATTATCGTTTATCATAATCGTTTCTGGGACAATTTATCGTCCAACAAATGACAAGCCGATTCTGGCGGTTCATTGCTGCAGCACATCTTTACCACCATGCGGACAGATAACTGGCACCATCCATTAAGTGTTGGTCTTATCACACAGAAGGAGGTCTGGAGGAGCGTCTCAGCAGAGATGGAGAGCGGGGATGTTCCAAAACTCTCACCGTATTTTGCAAATTTATGATAATTAGGGGTTGGGTAATGATCTAATGAAGGCCATAAAGTGGCAGGATGAGCACCGGGCGGATTGGAGCTGAGGCAGCTGCGTGCAGCCGGCAGCAGAAGGAGGAATGAAGGAAGATAAACTGAGACACACTAGAGTTTTTCTGCAGCTTCACAATGGGGACGCGCTATTTCAAAAGGTTGCTATTAAATCCGTTTGAACGGGTTCCATCCGCAGAGGGAGATATGTTGGACAAATAACTAGCTTTAAACTAAACTGGGAAATGAGAACATGCCGTATTCTAAAAGTGTTCACACCCCTGACGTTTTGTTTTTGTCTTTGCAACCATAAAGTATTAATTGTGAAGTTGAAGGAAAATGCTTTTGGACCTTTTTTTTGCACCAATATGTCACTATCATTATATTACTAGAAAATAGTCTCAAAACTGCCTATGTATGGCAAGACTTGAAAGGAGGCTTTTTGTTCAGTCTGAATATTAAATGAAAATCATATTTTAAGTTATACTAAATTGTGTTGCTGTTGCACATAGAATCTGAACGAAACCATTTGCCAAAATGTGCTCAGGTGGTGTGAATGCTTTGGCACATAACAGAAACTCTGCTTCGAACCAGTTCAAATAAGGTACGACTATGAACAAATGAGGACCAGCAGCTGCTCACAGGCAGAAGCAGAAACTGAATGCTGTGATGCAGGAACGCCCAATTCACACCTTGTGACATTCAGCCATTCTGCCTCATAACGCACTTCATTTGTTTAAAGCGTATTTTTAGCGCTCTCAAGAAATCTCTGCCTCCAGCTTTCATGAATCGCTCTCCCCAAAACCTCGTATAGTAGCACAGACTGTTAGCTCTTGGTTTTACTCAACATTTGAATAATGCCTAACCTAAACCCTTTCTCTGTGTGTGTGTCTGTGTTTTTCTTAGGGCCTTCCCTTCTTCATTTTGTTTTTGCTTTCCAGGAAAAAACAAAATGGGGAAACAGAACAGCAAGCTGACCCCTGAGGTGATGGAGGACCTGGTGAAGAACACGGAGTTCAACGAGCACGAGCTGAAGCAGTGGTACAAGGGATTCCTGAAGGACTGCCCCACCGGCCGGCTAAACCTGGACGAGTTCCAGCAGCTCTACGTCAAGGTGCGGCCCCGCTCCGTCCATCACAACTCGCTTTGTCCATGTCCGTTATGCACTCGCAGCAGGAGTGCCAAATTTGCGTTGCGTTTTAAACCCAGAGGCAGGAAAGCAAAAAAAATGTTTTGAAGAAGGGAAAAGATTTGACAGGAATCTTGGTCTAGACAAGCAGTTCCTCAAGGAATGTCAAACTGGTTTGAGTGTCAGAGATAAGAGAGTTGTGGCGATGATAAGACGCAGTAGATGAATTGCGTGTTGAATCGAAAGGCTTGTAGTTGCAGGATTTCGTTTATAGCAGCAGAAGACTGCAAGCAGCTGAAGTAGGACGGCTGAGATGGCTTTTATGAAGATGAGGAGCGAAAAGGACGAAAGAGACTGAGTGATGGAGCTGGAAACTCTGACCACAACTTGTCTAAACTCAGACTCAAACATGCTGCGCCATCATCCTCCTACCACTTCCTGTTGTCTTCTTCGTCTTTTCTGCCAGTAGTAACATCCGGTTGTTGTTACATGACTCGCGCAGTACGAAAAAGGTGTTGCTGCTACTGTTTTTGGGAAATCTACAAATTTTAATATGATTGAAAAACCATGTCATGCAAGCGCAAAACATTTTTACTGAAAAATTATTTTTTATTGCTTTGTTTCCAGTTCTGAAATTGTGCAATTTTATGGTTGATAGAAACGCAGCTTAGTTTAGACCATATAATTATGCTAATTTTAATTACAAAAATAATTTTGCTTAATAGGTACATGCTAGTTTATAAAAAACACATTTTCCGAGTAAAAGTTTTTGAGCTAGGATGAGAGGGTTTTTCAGTCATATCAATTTTAGTGTATTTTGCAAAACCGGAACAGAAATGCTTTATTCACATCTTACGAGTCACGTGATCAACAACCAGATGATGCTGGTGGAAACGATGAAGAAGACGATGACAGGAAGCGGTTGGAGGATGACGGCGCGGCATGTTTTTGACATATTGCGCGAACAAACTTATTTATGTGTGATTGAAACACAGCGATGGCCAACTTGGGTTTGTTCGAAATTAGCTGAATATTGACAACGGAATATGTAACGGGAGCACAGCCTTCGTCGAAGAATGGCTTTGATAGATTAAACGTAAGCATTAGTTTGCAAATATTGCAAATATTATTGGATTTTTTTTGCAATAATTCAATACATAAGAATTGGTATTGTGACAGGCCTTGTGACAAGCAGGAAGACTGCTCCTCTGCTAGTACAGAATAAATTATAAAATGGCCGCTGATTGTATTGTTTGCAGTGATTTAGACAGCTACTGAAGTTAATTTCTTTAACAAATTATGAGTAGTTGCAGGAGTTGCTTTTTTAGAACCATTTGCTCTCACATTAAAGCTTTAAACACTTTCATAACGTGTTTTTGCACAGCTGGTTTTTGGAAGTGTTAGTTAGGGTCACATGAATCACCACAGCAACAAGTGTTATCACTCTTCATGCATGCCTGCTTTTAACCTCCCCCCCCTCTCTTTCTCTCTCCATGCTTACACTCTCCCCTTCCTGTATCTGGGCAGAAATCCAACAGAGAGTCTGAAATCAGAGGCACTTGAACGATCATGCTCCCATGCTAATATGCATCCCACTGTATCTTATTACCTCTGATGAAGCGGTGGGAAATTATTCTGCGGTTTATTCATTTATACACACAAAAGGAGAAGAATCCTATTCACAAAGAGGACATAGGAATTAGACCAAAACACTTAGGAAAGTGTAATAGATTAGACAAAAATTATCAATATTCTTATTTTTGTGACGCAAGAGTCAATATGCCTGCACCAGAAATTGATTTGATTGATAAAATAAGGCTCTTAGATTTCCCAGTTTGCAACCTCCTGGCTTCCTAAAGGGTTGCTAAACCCATGAAAGACAAGACAACTTAAACATGTAGTCTGAAAAGAGCTTTAAAACTGCAACTTTTTATAAAAAGTATGTTTTTTTTTTTTCTAAAACTGTCACCATGTCTGTCACGACGTGGTGACAGTCTGATCAGACCCAGATGAGCTCCTCCGCCTCCTCACTGAGCTGCTGTTGCCATCTGAGGAAACGCATCGCTCCTGACCAAAAACAACCAATCAGAGGCAGGAGGAGGGTCTTGGCGCTGTCAATTAAGCTTGTGTACTCACTGACGTTGGAGAAGCAACTCAGGAAAACCGTTCAAGGACGATTTTGTTTACAGGGACTTCAAAATTTATTTTGTTGTTTATTTATTTTGTATATTCAACACATCTTCTGGTTCCAGTGTTGAATGTTTATTAGAATTTAAAGTGTATAGATCTTTGAGAAGATGCCAATGTCATCATATGACTTGAAAATGTTAACAAAACCACAATATTATCAATAACGTCTGGGACAATTTATTGTCCAGCAAAAGTTAGTCTGTAAGTCCAGTAAGGAAAACACCCAGAATCAGCCTTTTTTTATGTGTTTGTTTTTTGTTTGTTTTTTTAGCATCTTGAGCTTTATGTTTGAACTTCCGAGTCCTCAAGGAAGAAAGCACTCACAGTAGTTGAAGAATGGGCATTAATCTTTCATCAGTGGGGCTGGGAAATGCATCGTTGCCGAAGGGGGGTGGGGGGTGTCTACCATTGCATAACACACACTTATGCATCCAGGTCGGCTCTGCTAAATGGCAATTTTTTTTTAACCCTAACCCTAACTTTCTACATCAGCTCACTACCAGTCATGAAGAAAACTGTCAATAAGTCAAAGTCATTATTAGAAGATGTCTCAGTCAACCTGTGTTTACTTTATAAGCATGATGAATAACACGTTTAGCGAACTGCGAATCCTTTTCAATTCTATTCAAATAGGATCAATGGAAGAAAAGTCACAAAAGAAGCAACACAGTTCAAACCTGGAGAGGGCTGGGGGTTACCGCCTGCTTTTTGATTGCAGCTCATTTTGATGTTTCTAGACAACAATATATCAGTGATCGGGCTTTTTAATATCTGAATAGCCAACAAATGGAAGAGGAAGAAGTTTGCCTGCGACCTCACATCAGTGGGACAGATTGTTCCTGTGAAGAGCGACTGTGTGTGTGGAGTTGGGAATGCAAGGGGTGGGAGTGGGGGGGGTCATATGTTTAGTGGGTGGGCGATGGAGACGGAATCACATCGGCAGAAAGTGAGAAGCAGAAAAAGGGGCAGAGGTGAGAAAAACTAAGCAAGTGAAGGAAAGTGTGGTTAAATTATTTATTAGTCATTAGAGCCACTGGAGTCAGAGAGGAGAGTGATGGCAAATGTAGAAATGAAGGCAAAGACACTTCCTGGATAAATATTTACAGCCCATCTACTGGTGACCAGAAGAAGAAAATTTCTGGACTTGATATCAAAAAAAATTTTTTTTTTCCTACTAATTTTTGACTTTTCACATTGAGAAATTTCCCAATGTTTTTACAGAAATTTCTGTGTTTTTCTTTTTTTAACAAATATCCAAATTTTTAAGCTGAGAAATGTCCAAGTTTTCGCCAGGCAGGGTGATAAACACAGTGCTACTTCCAGCCAGCGGACTACCTGCAGTAAATGTAACTGTTTTGGGGATAAAAATAAAGCGGTAAAAGCAGGTGCAGCATGTCAGCTGGAAGTAATGGCCCTCTGTCTGAGAGCTTCCTTTGATGCGGTGCAACAAAACGTCACGTTTAGGCCTCAGTAGCTCCATGTGTTCCTTCATATTCAGCACTTTAAAACAGAAATTCCATTTATTTTATGCATGCTGCCGATAAAGTTCACAAATGACAGAAAGAACTCAAGCTGAGGCCCAGAACAAAAAGAAAAACATGAGCACTTCAGAAAACCAGCAGTTAAAACACCCATTAGTTTGGTCAATTAAATGGAAATAGCATATTTAAATGCAAATTTCGTGGTTCAGAAGTCAGTACTCAGCTTTAATTTTCCACTTAGAACATTTCAATATTTCAGTATGCCCGGCATAATTACCTAAAAGGTTGGCCATTAGAAAAATAATGATATGAAAAGTGCATTCCTCTTTAAACAGATAGTGGTGGAAACTAGAATGGAGGCCGAGGTGATGGACGAAGGGAAGCTGTAGCTCTAAACCGCCATTCATCAAAGCGTCTTGGATCAATGGCCTGTGGAGGGCGAGCCCACTATGAAGCAGTTTGTCCTCGTTAGGCTTTATGGGACTTTGATGATTCTGTTTTACCACATGCTCAAAATCTGACATGAGTTTTCCATACATTGCCTTGAAGAATTTCAAAATACCTTGTTTATGTTCCTCTTTATCTTGGAAGCCACCTTGCATATTGCGCAGTGGTAGGACTCGGTGCACATTTCTCATGGAGTCTCTAACTGATGAACTGAAGTTAGTCGCAGCTTAACTGAAAACTGTGCATCGACAAAACAAACGTTTTCAATTCCAAAACCCTTTTCGCTGCGATGTTGTTGAAGGTGATGGCGCACGTTGCTGCTGACATAAACACAACAGTTGATCAATAATAACAGGGATCAGAAATATTCAGGAAAAAATATGCATCTTGGGAAAATGGAATGCCTAGTCACAGTGCTATTTAACATGCTAATGGCTGGCTTTTGCAAAGCAGCCTAAGCAGGAGAGCTATTTATTTTCCTTTGTACTGATTGGTTGTGTCTCCCAAGAGGAGAAATAAGAAAGACTGTAAACATTAGCTTGTATGTTTAGTGATTCCACTGTGCGTATGGATGCAGACTACGGTATATTTTCTGTATGGACTATTAAAAAAAGGCAATTATGAGCGTTTTTAGAACAGGTCTCAGAAGTTACGTAACAGTTGTTTGTAAATAGCTAAAAGAACTCTGGGGTCGGGCTAAACTCCAACACCAGTCAATTAAACAAACTTAACATGGATTCTAGTCAAAACAGCACATGTAACTCAAGCAGAAATTGGATAATAGTTGTGCCTCTGGCCAACAGAAAGATGTTTGTCATGTTGTTACCCCAGCTGTCAGTTTTGGGGCTGCTTATCACTTATAGTTTA